TACAAACATTTTAGCTCATGGGTCAATTTGGGCTGAGCCCAAGTTAATCCATTATTTTTTATAGCCCATTCTGATCCATTAAGCAGCCCAAATACAACCCATGAAACTCACCCAAAACTAAAAGGTTACTCAACACTAACTTGTCTTAAAAATTTACTTAGTTGTCCCCTAATTTACGTTTTTTTTTTTGTATTTTTAATTTTCTGTTTTTTGTACCTACCCACCCACCTACCCCTAAATTTTTTGTTTATTTTTAATTTCTGCACCACTCACCGCAAACCCCCTCAAGAAAAATATTTTACTTTTTTTGTCAAGCTTAGCAAATGTACATTTGGTCAGACAGAGGTAGAGTACTTGGGCCATATTTTCACTCAGCAAGGGGTAGCAGCTGACCCAGGGAAGGTGAAGGTGATGGTTGAGTGGCCTGTACCCTAAAAAGTGTAAAGGAACTCAGGGGATTCTTGGGTTTAACAGGGTATTATAGGAGATTTGTAAAGGGGTATGGGGTGATAGCTAGACCCCTGAATGATCTTCTGAAGAAAGATAAGTTTGAGTAGTCTGAGGCAGTAACTCAAGCATTTGAAACTCTCAAGATGGCTATGAGTACAACACCAGTGTTGGCACTCCCAGATTTTTTCCAGGAATTCATTATTGAAACTGATGCATATGGGCATGGAATAGGGGCTGCATTGATGCAAGGGGATCATCCTCTAGCTTATTTGAGCAAGGCTTTGCATGCTAAGCATCAACACCTCTCAGTGTATGAAAAGGAGATGATGGCTATTGTGACTGCAGTGGATAAATGGAGACCATATCTCATTGGCAGGCACTTTCTNAACTCGCACTTTCCCTTCCATTTGGCAGGGGGAGGAGGCATTCCTTCATCATCGAACGAAGGATGTTCTGGATAAATTCCAGTGTCCAACAGACCAATAATTACACCTTCGCCATAGTTAGACGTATTCCAGAAGCCTAAGTTTTGGTGCAACCCGAGGAAACTTGGAGTATGAGTAGTTTGGACTCGCAATATCCTTTGAGGTCTTATGGAAATAAAGCCATCCTTCGTTTCCAATAACTTCACTTCGTCTGGTGATAATCTAGCAGCAAAACCACTGAAGACATTTCGATAGGAATATATTATGCGTGAGGACACATCAGATAATAATGAGTACTCGTGTAGATTTTCAGGTGACTCAACGTGAACAATATAGATTTCTGAATTACTCTGCTGAGAAAGATGATCACTGGCTGATATGATTGATAGCTGAGAACTTACAATTACATAGAAAGTAAGGAAAACCATCAAAGCCATGTTTTTGCAATGGAGTCAAAACTCCTATTTAAAACATTGCTTTTATATTGTTTTTTCAGCTGATATAACTATGTTCAACTATTGTTTTATTCATCATATACTTAAAGAACTTATCAATAGGACATTGGTAACTTCAGTAGCTTTGGACTACACTCTTCTTAGCATTGTATAGAGATACAACAGTCCTAGTAAATAGCAATCTAAGCCATCTTCTTCCATTTTCATATAAAATTATGTTTATATAAGTTCTAAAGATGATAATTACATCTATTTCCAGAGTAGAGTGCAGTGCTGAGAAATTCATTTCTGCCAGAGCTGATATTTACAGCTATGGCATGATGCAGATTGAAATAAAAAATAGACAAATAGTATTAAGCAATGGGTAAGTGACTCAGTGTGCCATTCAACAAATTATTTACTTATGACAGATAAGGAACACTTTGCTTAAAAGAAGCACTGGTTTTTGTTGATCATTAAAGTAGAAATACTTTGTAGAGTAGACTCACCTCAAATCATGAATGAAGGATCAGTGCATATTAAAGTTTAAATTCTTAAAATAAATACAGATCATCAAGCAAAAGAAAACAGTAGACAAACTATCAGCGGCTTTTCATAACAGTATTCTCCATAGTTGTAGTAACTTCCAGTAACATTCTTGTCATGGGTTTAGGTCATTCAATAACAAGAAGAAAGCTTCTGTTTGATCTTTTCCAATGCTGCTACAACATCAGTCATGTTCATCCTTTCAGCTGGAATATTAGCTGTGCAATTCATGGCTAACTCCATGATGGATGACACACATTGCAACTTTTGACTTAAGTTTTGTTCATCCAATGTTAGTAAGTCGGCATCTATGATCTGGTCCAACTCATCAGGAAGCGAATTATACACGCAGCTTCTCAAATTCAAATCTCCGGTGAATATTTCATCATTAGGTTTCTTCGCGGTAAAAGTTTCGAGCAACATGATACCATAACTATAAACGTCAGACCTCTTGGATATAAGGCCTTCCAAACCATACTCTAAAAAAGGAAAAGTAAAAATATTTCAGCAAAAAAAACTTATAACGCATTAATCTATAACCTTGCTACAAGTTAATTAAATAAAAGATTCACCTGGAGCAATGTAACCAATTGTCGCAAAGGTTGTAGTGTGAGCAATAGATTCTTCCTTAGTTAAAAGTTTTGCAATGCCAAAGTCACTCAGGTGTCCCACCATGTCGTTGTCAAGTAAGACATTGCTAGGCTTCAGATCACAATGGATAACTGGTACCGAGTAACCATGATGGAGATATTCCAGAGCAGATGCAACATCGACCATGATATTCAATCTTTGCTTTATATTTAAACAATAATCTCGAGAATAAAGCAACTTGTCTAAGCTCTGATTTGGCATGTACTCAAGTATCAATGCTTTAAAATCCAAGTTACAACAGCTGCTAATGATCTTGGTGAGATTTCTGTGACGAAGATTCCGTAAGACTTCACATTCTCTATCAAAGGTTTGAAATGTACCTTCCATCTGCACATTGAAAACTTTGACAGCCACTATCATCCCATCTGCCAATGTCCCTTTGTAAACAGAACCAAAACTTCCACTACCTAGCAAGTTATTTCCATCAAAGCCCTGAGTTGCTCTTTGAAGTTCATAGTACGAAATTCTTTGTGATGCTACCTCAGGCAACCACTCATCTTCAGCTTTGACTGCTTTAACCCGACGTCTCCTCAACACGAAAACAATTGCTGAAGCAAGCACTATTACAACGATAAGTGATGATGCAACTACAATCCACATCAGTCTTCTTTTCTTTGAATTAGAACGATTCTTTGAATTAGAAGGGCAAGGTGGGACATGCTTTTGAGGGTTACCACACAATCCTTCATTCGACATGAAGGACTGGTAAGGGAGATGAACAAAAGGTCCTCCATTTGGAATTTCCCCGTGTAACCGGTTGAATGAGACATTAAAGGAGCCTAGTTGCTTAAGTTCCTCTAATGACATTGGAATCACACCAGATATATTGTTATATGAAAGATCCAATGCTTCCAAATTTATGAGTTCCCCAAATGTCTCAGGAATAGATCCTTTAATTCTGTTATGAGCCAAAGATAGTTGAGTCAATTTCTGTAGACCTCCCAATGTAGTTGGAATGTTTCCTGAGATTTGGTTCCAGGAAAGATCCACATGTATTGCAGACTTGAGGTTTCCAAATTCTAGTGGTAGAGAACCATTGAAGAAATTAGAAGACAAGTTCAGCTTCAAAATGTCGTTGAGTTTCCCTAGACTTGAAGGTATGATAGCAGAGAAGTTATTAGAATCAAGATAAACCTCCCTTAGGGAAGTCACATCCCCTAAGCAACTAGGAATACTTCCCTGCATTTGATTTCGTGAAAGGTTTAACAAACCCAAGTTGGATAGCTCACACAAACCATTTGGGAAAGGACCACTTATTCTGTTTGCTCCAAGTGAAAACTGTTGAAGGTTTTTTAGAGAACTTATTGTCATGGGGACAATGCCAGTAAATTCATTGTCTCCCAGCTTCAACAAAGACAAAACTCTCAAATTCCCAATTTCCACTGGAATATGACCCCTGAGGTTACAGCCATCTGCTGAAAACGTTTGAAGAGAAGAAATATTGCCGATGGAATTTGGAAGCATTGCATTTAAGGGATTGAAAGACAATATCAATTCTCTTAAGAATTTCCAATTGGCCAAAGGAGTAATAAAGCTCAAATCACTTGTCAAGGAGTTACCGTACAAGTCAACAACTTCAAGAATTGTTAAATTTCCCAAAGAGTTAGGAATTGATCCCCTAAGTTTATTTCCACTGAGTTTGAGAACGGTAAGCATTGACAAATTCGAGATGGAACTTGGTAAAACACCATTAATGTTATTGTCAAGTAGATGGATTTGTTGAATATTGGGTGGCCAATGGCCTATAGTGGAAGGAATATTACCTGAAATGTGGTTTTGTGCGAGTGAAATTACTATAAGACTTGACATATTGAAGATACCAACAGGGATCGACCCACTAAAGTTATTCAAATCCAACTCAAGTTGCGACATCAGTTGAAGGTTACCGATTTCATCAGGAATTACACCTGCAAAATTAAGATGCATGATGATCAATAGAATTGTCCGGAAAACTGGAACTCTAAAATAACGTGGATTATATATTTTTCCATACCTGTCAACTTATTATTTCCAAGATCAAGAACGCTAAGCAAAGTCAAATCTCCAACCTCTCTTGGTAAAGGTCCTTCAAGCTTGTTATTCCCCATATATAAAAGTCCAAGTGATGAAATGCCGAATATGGTTAAAGGGATTGAGCCAGTTAATTTATTGTTTTCCACGACTAAATAGTCCAAGTTAAGATGACCAATCTCATCAGGAATTCTGCCTGTCAAAATGTTTAACAGAAATATCACATAAAAATGTGATCTATTTTGACAAAACTTATACTAAAAGTGGGAAGCCACAAATGTCAAGATTGAATTACCAAAATAACAATGTAAAATTGATGGACCCATTTACCTTTTTCAAATGACTCTTCTACATTAAAGTACAAATATGTAATTTTAGATGTTAGCTGTTTGGATTATGAAACACAACTATGTAACAAGTCATAGAAAGAAAAATTCGTGGTGTAGACAGGTACATGCAATTAAGAGTTTCATCAGAGTGAGGTAAGGGCAAATATTGTTATATTATTTCATATTATTTGTCGTTTCTTTCGTGTTTTTGGAGAACCTATAAAATTATATCTTGTTATGTGACAATATTGTAAACAAGCAAAAAAGGGAATTAGTAGAAGTTAAGGGGCATCTTAGCAATTATCATTAGTGATAGTTAGAAGTTGTTAAAGTGTGTTAGAAGCAGTTACATTAGAGAAGGATTAGAACTACTTAAAGGGGATATTTTCGTATTGTAAAGTAGTTTAAGAAGAAATAATACTACTCTCTCTCTCTTTCTCTTTCATAATCCAAAATTCAGTCTTTGTAAATTGTTCAGGAGCTATTCTTGCATTTTGGTTCCTTAGATTTTACAGAATTTCTATTCCATTCATTTAGCACATTCCATATCTTGGCCGCTTCATTTGTCTCTATTTAACTTTCTTTTGTTATCTTCCTCACTGTCGTAGAAGTTTATTTGATTCTTCAATGAATTTATCTACTAAGTGCAGGGGAATGATAGCTGTTTGGGGAAAGAATATGTTCGAGACATACTTTTTGTTCTTCTAAGTAGAACTCTAGCACAACTAGGGGTGGCAATTTGAGCCCAAACTCATCCAACCCGCCCAACCCGTCCAGAGATTAATGGGTTGAGCTACAAACATTTTAGCTCATGGGTCAATTTGGGCTGAGCCCAAGTTAATCCATTATTTTTTATAGCCCATTCTGATCCATTAAGCAGCCCAAATACAACCCATGAAACTCACCCAAAACAAAAGGTTCTCAACACAACTTGTCTAAAAATTTACTTAGTTGCCCCAATTTTACTTTTTTTTTTTGTATTTTTAATTTTCTGTTTTTTGTACCACCCACCCACCCTACCCCTAAATTTTTTGTTTTATTTTTAATTTTCTGCACCACTCACCGCAAACCCCCTCAAGAAAAATATTTTACTTTTTTTGTCAAGCTTAGCAAATGTACATTTGGTCAGACAGAGGTAGAGTACTTGGGCCATAT